TATTTTATTTTTGCCATGATGACAGTAAATAATATTTTACTAGATATTTTTCAAGACACTTCTATACAGCTTAAAGTGACATTTAAAGGCTTAAGGTGAATTAGGTTAACTTGGCAGGTTTGGGTTATGAGGCAGATTATTGTAAAACAGTGGTCTGTTCTGGAGACAATCGAAAAAAAAATATAGCTTAAAGTAGCTCATAATTTTGACATTAATTTTTTTTTTTATTTAATTAAACACTGCTTTTATTCTAGCCCAAATAAAACAAATAAGATTTTCTCCTGAAGAAAAAAAATATATCAGACATGCTTTGAAAATGTCCTTGCTCTGTTAAATTTGGGAAATATTTTAAAAAGAAAAAAAATCAAAGGGGGTTTAATCATTCTGATTTCAACTGTATGTTAATTAAAATAGTAAAATAGTATGTCAATTAAATATTAAAATATATCTAAATTAAAAGTTAAATCTTCAAAAATTTTGCCTGCACATCTCCTATCCTCCCATAGAGGGTGATGCATCTCTTCCCCTCCTCCATCTCCTACACACGGAGAGAGAGAGCGTTTTGTGATAGGCTCCCACTGTCAGGGCACGTTTCTTCTGCAGCGTCCCAATGCTCAACCTCTCTTTCTCTCTCTCTCTCTCTCTCTCGGTCACTGCAGAGCGACACTCTCTGTTACGGCAGCGTGCTGAGAGACAGCCTGTAGCACTGAGACCATCTAATGCTCATAGAAAACCTGCAGACCTGTGGAGACCTGGACTGAACACACACACACACACACATATACACACACACTCATGCATGCAATCTCAGACATGCTCAAATCATCGCCTGCAACATCTGGCTGAGCCGTGCAGGAGAAGTGCCGCTCCGTTGTGCTCTGTGAGTCGACTTACCAATTGAATGTGTGTATTTGTAAGGGATTTGAGCAAGGATTTAGATTTTACAGACTTGATTTGTTTCTCTGTGTGATTTATTTGCCATTCATTTGGTGTCCTTGTGTCATCCAGACTGAACTGTGTTGGATTTTTAAGCACGGGATTATTTGATTGGTTTCCTTTAACTGTGTGTGCGCGCGTGTGAGTGTGTGTGCATGTGTAGGATGATTGTCATGTCTGGTTAACCGGTATGTCTGAAGTAGGTTATTGTAGACGCATCGTGTTTGCTCTATGTGGAGTTCTTATATCCAAAGGTGTGCATACGTGAATTGATGGATGGTGTTTGTGTTCAGTGCATTTTTGAAGGATGAATAAAACAGTTTCTGAAACCCATATGAGCATAATTACTTAGAATGACGTCTTTCGTGACAATATTCTTTTGCTTTTGGGTTAAATGTGCTGGTGATATTTGTGCATGTGTGTGTGTGTGTTTAAATTAGGGTTTATGGAAGATGAAAATGAACATTAGATCTTCTTACAATTTTTTTTATTTATTTTTTATTTTTTTGGAAAGGAGACATTTCTAATGGAGAAATTTAGAAAAATGTCTATGCTGCTCTTTTCTACACAATGAGAATATGGGGACCAGAGCCCTAAATTTTGAGCTCCAAAAATATTTAAAAAAAAAACAAAAAACATGTCCTTATGAGTTTTATGTCTCATTAAATACATTTTATAGTTTTGTATAAGGAACAGTCTAGACTTATAATCTGAAAATATTGGGACCGTGAAAGTGGATTGATTATATTGCTGAAAAAAAAATGTCTTAAATTCACTATACAGAAACTCCATTTGGCTTATGAACTACATTATATTATGTGTCTTCTAAATATGTGTGATCACGCTGTTAAAAATAGACCAAAATTGACTATGAATTGTGTGCTCAACCATAGAGTCTTTTTCAATTAAGATGATGGATCACACTGAGGAAACGCAATGATGTTGTTGACACCAAATGTCAATGTTTTCACTAGTCTATAACTAATGTTAAGGACAAACCAAATAAATATTTTATTTATTTTATATATATTATCTTAAAGGATATAAGCTTTAATTGAATTTAGCTTACTTCTCTTTGGAATAACAGTTATTGCAATAATGCTTTGATGCAATTTTTTATTCAAATACTGTACATTTTGCCTTGACTTGAAATGAAATACTTGCTTTCAAATGGATGGATGAACTAGCTATTTAAAGATTTAAACATTATATTATAGTAAAGTTTCCCAGGGATGGGTTGCGGCTGGAAGGGCATCCGCTGCGTAAAAAACATGCTGGATAGGTTGGCAGTTATTCCTCTGTGGTGACCCCGGATTGATAAAGGGACTAAGCCGAAAAAAAATGAATGAATGAATTATAGTAAAGTTGATTTATTGCTTTTCAAAAACAGTTTGGTGGAACAAACAAGAAATAAAGAGGAATGCTTTATGTTCATCTTACTAGTCTTGGAAATGAATGACACCTATTTAAACAATTTATATACCCAAACTTTTGAAAATTTTGACTGAACTTGTCCTTTAAGGAGCAAAGATCCAAGAGAAATTTGTACTTTTTATTGATTTAGTGCTGTAGTTCCAATGTAGCCTTCACACAATCGCATAACCTTTGCCATACCTCACAGACTCTGATGCGCACCAAAAAAAAAAAAAAAACTACAAAAGTGGTGAAAAGTTCGGGGTAAATTTTTTTTTGTTTTCATGTTCTTTTTTAAGAAAATTATTCTGTTCAACAAGCATCAAGCTCTTCATTACATATATTAAATTTAAAAAAAAAGTAAAATTGTTAAATATTTATTACAATTTTAAATAACTGCTTTCTTATTATATAGTTTAAAATAAAATTAATATTGCTTTTTTTTACTATACCACTGTTGTTTTTATTATTATTATTATTATTATTATTATTATTATTATTATTATTATTATTATTAAGAAGAAGAAGACTGGAGACTGGAGTAATGAAGACTGGAGTAACGAAGGTGAAAATTCATGTTTAAAATCACTTAAATAAATCATTAAATTAAATTATAAACTTATATATTTTTTTACTTTTGAACAGTTATTTAATAGTGCAATAGCATTTCACAATTATATAATTTGTTCTGTATTTTTGATTAAATAAATGCAGCCTTGGTGAGCAGGATAAGTTCATTTTAAAACATTTAAAAATCCTACTGACCCCAAAGTTTTGACTAGTAGTGTACATGTTTTGATGATGTAAAGTGCAAGATCTGTGATTGGTCAGCTTGCCAGAAGGGATGAGTTTGGTCAAGGCCAAGAGCCAAGGGGGCGGAGCCAGTGGCGGTTAACTAATTTCAGTTACCGTGGAGAAACTCCATATTTGTTTGTCCTTTTGTTTTGTGTCCATTTGGTGGACATTTACCAGTTCTCCTTTCTACCTTGAATGAGTGTGAGTTTGAAATACTTTTGCATCACATGCTTTTCTGGTGTAATCTCAAAACACCAGTAAACAAATTTGACTCAGTGTGGCGTAGAAATCCTATTGCCCAGCGTTTGGGAGGACAGACAGAAAGCAAGAGTATAAATACTCCCAACGTTTTTGGTTACTTACTGGGGATATGCCATGGAGTACGCTAAACACTTGATGCTAAAGTATAAATTTGGAGGAATTAGGATAAAATTTGGAGGAATTTGAGATACTAGTGATTTGTCACTAATATTAGGATTTAAATACAGACACACCTAAAAAAAATGGATGATGTGGCTCATTAAAAAAATATTTGTTGAAAGGATTAAAAAAAATAATATAGTTTTATTATGTGTCACTATAGTCTTGCAATTTGACACACTAGTATTAGAGACAACAAAAGTACTGACTACTAGCATCAGTTGGTACAAAAAATGTACCTACATTTGAGTGCTGTGTTCACATGCTCAACAGTTATGACTGTGATTGGATACAATGATCATTGCTTAGCTGTTCTTCATTGAGGTAGACACAAACACTGTAGCATTTCAAAGCGATGTCTATGAGATGATCCATCAGTGTATTGCTCATTATTTGTAAGATTAGAAACTTAAAGAAACACTATGTTGTCACTGTTTTTCAAAATTAATGTAACGCCAGTTTTGAAGAAGCACACATCCAAATTGTCTATTTTAAATCATCTGACCCTATCTTAGATTTGCTGTGAAATTGATTTACTAATTAATTACTATAAATTTTAGTTTTATAAGTCTTGTACCTGATTGAAACATCAATTTTAGTACTCTGAACAGTTTATTTTTGGGTCATTGATGTTTTATGGATTTGAGCTTAACCATGAAGTTTGTTGAATGATTTAAAAGAAGCAGAAAAAATAATGCTGTGTGTGTGTATGTAGTTGTGTATGTGTGTGGAGGAGGAATACCTACCTGCATTTTACTTATGCCTATATATTCCGCCAGGTTATTTCCATATTCCCAAGCCTCTCTCTCTTTCTCTTTTTTTTTCTTCGCTTCAGCCCCACTCTCATTCTCCCTCTCCATCCATCTGTCTGCTGATAAGGCACATTTTCCAAAGAGAAAACCCCCTCCTCATTTCATCACCGGCTGTAATAATGATGACGACGTGCGTGAGTGTGTATTCATCACTAAAAAGCCCCACGGGGAATTCCTGCACACACATGTGCTCAGATTTCAACCCATTTCTATATCCACCATGTGCATCCATGACCCGGTGTGCTTTTATCAATGAAAAAACAAGCTCAAGAGGAAAGAAAGACACTTTTAGGAGCCTGAAAAAGCTTTCTGATAAGAGAACAAAGTGCAAACTATCACAAGCGTATTCTCAGAGCTCTTCAGGTGATCGCTTTGAAGTCAGATTTCTGTATCAAGTGACTAAATCATGGTTCGCTGCAGTATTGTCAGGCCCTTTCCTTAGAAAATAGGAAAGCTAAACACACATTTTCTTGATGGAGTCCTTTATTACGAGAGGAAAACTCCACACAAAAGCATATCTTCACCGGGTTTATTGTGAATGTGAGGTAAACGCTGTGGACTATGTTATCAGATGAGATTATATCAAGGTGGAGGGTCATCTAAACCTGTGTGTGTGTATTACAGGAGGTGTTGTGGATAAAGATCTCAGACAGTACCTCAACCTGCGTTTCCAGAAGGGCTCTTTGGACCACGAGCTGCAGCAAATCATTCGGGACAACCTCTATCTGCGAACAGTACCTTGTGAGTAACTCTTCACCCTTGTTTTCTTAGCCTTCGACACCGGTGCCCTCGCTGGCTTGGTGTTCTTGGCATGGTCAGTGGCATTTTATTGATTGTTTTCCTGCCTGACATTGTCTAAGGACTCGAACGGGGAAGGAAGATTTTTATGTTGATGAAAGTCTCTTGAATTTTGCAGTGATGCTTGGGTTGTTGGTAAAGAGTTGGATGGACCTGGTTTTAGTCATTGGCTGCTTGCTAGGTTGTTTTGGTGCTTTCTAGGAAAGCGAGCGAAAAGTGTATGAAGAGAAAAAACTGTTCGGTGTCTGCTGTCACTTTCTAATGAAGGAGATGTCTGTTTGTATATATGGTAAATCTGTGTGAGTGAATGACTTGTGAAATCTGCATCAGGAAGTTATGACATTTAATTGAATACTGAAATGAGTGGATTTTGCTCAAGAAAATTTACATTCTGTGAGAGGTGTCTATGAAAAAAACACAAAGGCATTAATTATTTAGTTTGATTTGAAATGGTATAATTATGTTAATAAATAAAAAGGGTTTTATGCCTTGGAGTTATTTGGAATGTTTTTGTCAATGTGTAAGAATTTTTTATAATCTTATCAGATCACAAATTTTCTTTGCATTATGATAACATTATCAATTTATACTATATCTACTATTTTTTCAAATCAATTAATTAACATGAATGCATAATGTTTTAGTTAATATTATTTAAATGTATTATTTTATACAATTATATTATTTAAGCCATTTTTCAAATATTTTAAATAATGATTAAAGTTCGGTCCAAGTCAAAATATGTCATTTGATCAAATAGTTTTTTTTCCTCAATTCTTTCCCTGGACTTTACTGATTTAATTAACTTAATTCAAGCCTAATTCAAGCTATGAATAATTTACAATTAATAGCGATCTTGAAACTTAATCAGTTTAACAAAAAATAATATTTTTTTAGGAATTGTGAGTAATAAATAAATTATTAACCCCCCCATACCCCCCAAATCCCTATATATTTGTGTTAAACTAATTGTGTAAAACATGCTCATTAAGTGTGTAATTGATGGGAGGTGTACATTTTTTTATTTTGATAGGCACTCTTTATACTATATGATAATTTGTTGTTTTAGTTTATTTATCTTTGTATTTGACAAGACCACACATTAGGGCTGCGAAATTGAATCACTCACAATTTGAAATGTTTGGATTTGCTATTCGCACACCAAAATGGGATATTCATTCATTTATTTTATTTTCGGCTTAGTCCCTTTATTAATCTGGAGTTGCCACAGTGGAATGAACCGCCAACTTATTCAGCATTCATTTTTCTCAGCAAATGCCCTTCCAGCTACAACCCATCACTGGGAAACACCCATACATTCTCATTCAGACACATACACTATGGACAATTTAGCTTATCTGATTTACCTGATTTACCTCCTGAAACAGGAGCACCCGGAGGAAACCCACGCAAACGCAGAGAGAACATGCAAACCCCACTCATAAATGCCAACTTACCCAGCCGAGGCTCGAACTAGCAACCTTCTTGCTGTGAGGCACGATCGCTACCCATTTCGCCATGCATGTTGGAGTACGTTAATATCTTTATTTTAACACTCACTGTATTTTAGCAGTAAGAATCTTCAATACAGATTATTGAGCTGAATCTTGACTTCAAAATCAAGTCGCAAATCAAATCACAATATCTGTCAAAAAATTGCAATTCAATATTTATCCCAAATCGCACCGCCTTGCCACACAAAGTAGTATAATATAAATGCTCTGGTTTCCCCACAAGTTCAAAGACATGCTGTAAAGGTGAACGGGTTGAGCTAAATTGTCCGTAGTGTATGTGTGTAAATGAGAGTGTATGAGTGTTTCCCAGTAATGGGTTGCAGCTGGAAGGGCATCCGCTGCGTAAATTATGTGCTAGCTAAGTTGGCGGTTCATTCTGCTGTGGTGACCCCAGATTAATAAAGAAACCAAGCCGAAAAGAAAATGAGTGAATAAAAACTTTTTGAAAGAATGAAAGTTTACAAATGAATAAGTAAATAAAAGTAAGAACTGATTGTGTTTGAATAGATAAAAAAAATATTCCTACAAGTCCATATTCTCTCTTTTCAGTAGTTTCATATATATTAGTGCTGATATCAACAAAAATCCCTAAAACAGGATTCCAGGTCTTGTAAAAAGATTTGAGACACCCTGCAAGTAAACATCTTAACTCCTCAAGTTTTATGCAGCTAAAGATTTCTCGGATTCACATGTTATGTGATGGAGGAATGACAAGTCTCCATTTGAGAAGACTGACTCGTCTAGCTAAAAGAGATGCAATATGCAAGTCAGCTCTCTCTGCAGTATGACAAAATTCCTTGACATGCTGTTATACAACAAATTCAAGTTTTATTGCTGGATTCCTTGATTCTACATCTTGGAAACCATAAGCCATGTACATAGAGTCGTAATGGCTCAATCCCTTCGCCCATTGTGAGTCAATGGTATTTTTCACCTGGAATCTTAAGCATGATGTCTAGTGCACAACAAGCATTTGCAAAATTGCAGGCTTGACTGATCCTCAGTACACAGCAAAGCACATGGAGCTTTATGAAACAAAAAGTCTAGTTTATTGGTTGACAATTCCTTGGTAGCATCTTTTTAAAACACTTGTACTGACTTTATAGTCATAATGAAGACAACTATGTATCTGTTTGTGAATTTTAGTCTATAATCAGATAGATGTTCGGGTATTATACACAGTAGTATGCTCTGTCTTTGGACTGCAGCATACTTGAAAGGATTTCCATGAGGCTTTTGCTCAAGTGAAGCCCTTGTGTTATGTGTGAGAGCGAGTGAGCAATTGAAAGAGAGAAAGAGAGAGAGAGAGAGAGAGAGTGATTACTGTCCAGCTGAGAGACTGAGCTGTGATTCCATTAGACCAAAGAGTGACACGTGAGATCCGCACCCGAGAGAACGAGAGAGCGCCATGGAGAATACAGATGAGAGAGAGACAGAGGGACGGACTGACAGAGATTACGATTTAAAAATGAGAATGAGGTGCAAGGACCCTAGATAAACCGCCTCAGATGTCGGATTCATTGAGCGTTTGCAGAAAGAAAGAGAAACAAGGACACCGATAGCTTGAAATAAGAAGGGAGAGATTGAGGTAGAGAGGAAGTCAGATTGGGGAGTCTGAAAAACCCATGCATACAAATTTGTTTTCATTCATATGTAATACAGCAGCCCTGTTGCAAAACCTAGCTGCCTACTTAGAAAGCATTTTAAGGGGCATCACAGGTGTACAACAAGATTGTTCCAAAACGTAGCCAGGATCAATTTGGTAGCTTTTTTAGATGCTTGGTTTTGCCCATCTCAGATTGCATTGAGGAAATTTCATTGGGTCTCATTTAAGGCTGCACAATGTGTCGTTTCCGCATTGATATCGTAATGTGCTCATCCACAAGAGTCACATCGCAAAATATGCAGTTTTGGGATTATACTTGATTATACTTTTATTCTCATGTGTTTTAGCTTAAGCAAAATGCTAATATTGCACATTATTGGACTTAACTCTGAGATAAGACTCTACTGTTTAGCATCATGGTAATAGAATGAGTTGTTTGTTAAACTCTGTTTTGTTTACCACAGGCCTAATATATATATATATATATATATATATATATATATATATATATATATATATATATATATATATATATATATATATTATTTTTTTTTATTTATTTATTTTTTTTTTCTAAATTTGGACAAATTAGTTTGTCTGTTGCTACCCTCATGCTCCTAACTTGGCACCAATGCTAACAGCACTATTGTATACATATTTCACGCTCCTAACTTAGCACCAATGCTAACATCACTATTGTTTAAAAAACAGTTATTTAAATGTGAGATTATCACATGGTTAGCTTAGGAACATGCTTAATGATTGTCAAGTGTATTATGAACAGTTTATATCACCTCATTTATTCCATTGTACATGACATATTGAGCTGTTACAAAATGGACATATATGATTTAAGTATTTTAAATGATTTCTTTAATAACTGTTTTAGCATGATTTGTATAATGTCACTAATTTGGACGACCTCATAATACATAATTATTATTTTCACCTGCTCTCATTCCATTGATACCATAGATTTAGTGGTGGGATTAAATTTGAAACTGTATACTTTATTTTTACATAAATCATACATTTTCATTAAGAGTGCATTGTACAAATTCATACAATTTCCACATTCAGAAAATACCTAGATCTTGTTGTGAGACTGACTTGTCAGTTTTGGTTTGCATGTAGTGCTTGAAGCCCACTCGGTTTGCTTTTCACAGAATTTTATTATTGCAGAATTGAGTTTGTGTGTAAAAAAAAAAAAAAAAAAAAAAAAACAGGGAAAGACAGTGACTCCAGAGGAAGTTGAGGACGTGTCCCCATTGCCGTCACATTATCAGTGGCGTGATTGGCTGCTTGCTGAGTAATGACAGTAATGCTCATAATCACAGAACTGTCTCATGAATTATGCAGCATATCTATTACAGCTTAGGATGCCATGACAGGTTAAACTTGCCACACACACGCAGAGGGGAAAAACAGGATGACATTAGAAGTTATTAGTGCTGACATTGAACCTCTACAGAAATGAGATGTGAGACGCTGTTATAAATGGCAGACGCAGTGTCCTCTAATATCCAAAAGGGGACCATGAGGTGTTGTTCTTTATTCAGAAATGGCCATTGCACACACTGTCTGTTCTTATTTGCTTTATTCACTCCTGTAATAAAAGTCCTCAAAAACGTTTTAAAACTAGAGACGTAACTGAAATTGAAGAACAGACTGGTTTCAGTTTGTGTGGATCTAATGCAAATTTTGCAGATTTTTGTTTTCTTTGGCTGTTATGAGTTCTGAACTTCTGTAAACAAATTGCATTTTTAAATTAAAAAGTCTGTAAACTAATTTGTATTAAAGTCCAAAGATGCTGAAGATTTAGC